AATTGATATAGTTAAAATTTATAATAAAATATAGTAAGTGAACTCAAACTTTTAGAAGCAACTATATGTATAACACACTTATTAAAAATAATTTTCAATATTTTTTTTAATTAGATCTAGTTATAATTTTTTAATATATATACAAATTTTGTATAAAAATAAAAAAGCGTTAAGTCAATTAATAAACTTATATATTAAATGATAAAATTTAATTTAAAAAAATATAATAATTATTTTATTATAGCTCAATAACCTTTTATATTTTTAATAATAAGATAAGTAAATTAAATAAAACCAAATGATTTTTAAATTTACACTATACAATAACATTATTATGTATTTAATAAAAAGAAAAAAAAGCCAAATACATTAAAAATAATGATTTTTTATCAGTCGATTATTAACTTAAGAATTGAAATATATATCGTATATCTTAGATTATTATATTAAATTATTGCAAATAATTTAAAGCCTTATTATAGAAACAATATATTTAAAGCCTTAAAATTTGATAAAATTTTGAAAGTAGCTTGTTCTCACAAGACAAAGATAAATAGCTATATTCGAAAGTATGTTTGCAAATCATAAAATGTGCAAAAAAAAATTATTTTCTATTTTATCCAAGAATGCCATTATTATAATAGCTTGATATATATTTCTTAGGTCACTTTGAAAGTTCAAAGATAACATAAAAAAATAGCATATATTTTTCTTGTTTAACAGAAAATCTATTTCAAATAAACTAGCCAGAATCACAAATAAATATACCAATGACAGATATATACAATTAAAATTATTAACAAGCAACTATATGAGCCTAAAATTTATTGCTCTTGATTTAACCATACCTGAGAATATATAAAATGATATATAATGGTTGTAATACTCACTAAAATTAAATGAATGAAGGTCCAAAATATAAAGTTACTGTATATAAAAATTCAATATATGTATAAAATACTGAAAGTATAGATGCATAATTTTTATTTTCTTTTTTTCTTTTTTATTTCTGTCAATAAATATTTAACACATCTGCCTGCCATTAAATTATATATTTATCTACACTAATTCGGCCTGTGTTGAAGTTACTGTATAGTGATGTAAAGGCAATAAACTCGATCTAGCACTTATACTTGCTTCACTAATATAAAAATTCAAGAGTAAAAAGATAAATCGAATAAATAAGTTATATGTTGTTATATTATACTGGAATCAAACAAATAAGTCATATATTGTTATATTTATACTGGAATCAAACAAATAAGTCATATATTGGTATATTTATACTGAAATCAAATAAATAGATACTGTAAGTCATATTTATAGATGGAAATAGTACGAATGTGTTAAGTATCTACGCATTTATATAACGCTTTTCTGCTCAAATCTTTTTTGCTATTTCTCAAAATTTTCAAATTCTTTTGATAGTATTATGCATCCATAATTCATAATGACAGATAGTTTCTTTATCATCATAAAGAAGTTCGGCTTTAGGTTTATATTTAAGCTCCATATACGTATTGTTTATCACCGAATGCGTTACTTTTGTCGTTTATACTCCAATATTTATTCATGAATTTATAACATTAATGCCAACTTTCACGTTCTATTTTATCATAAATAAGTTGGTTAAATAATTAACACAATTCTATATTTGCTTCTTTCGAGTGCACTTGTTTTAAACTACAAGCGATCACTTTTTCTAAAACGCATTAATAAATTCCAGATTCAATTCTTTCAATTCGAGGGAGCTTCACCTTCGTGAATTAGAGGCATTCTATTATTCTCATATTGTTTACCAGAATTATAATCAATATATTTGAACCGATGAGAAATATTTACGTAATTTATACTGTATTTAGACCTAATATAATTGTTCAGCCTACTGTATACTATAGGATAACACAATCCATTTTTTGTGCAGATTTTAATTTGTGATATCTGATACACAATACACCCGTAAGAATGATTGATATATTTTAAACAAAAATCGTTGTTAAAATAATAATATGTTTATATATTATTGATAACTCCGTTGATGAAATATTTACAATACTAAATTTATCCAATTATTTTGCTACTTAAGTATTGAACTCTGAAATGATTCTTGGCTTTCAATCCATGTAAGGTTCACGACAAATATACTGTAGTTGATTATTAAGATCTGTTTTTTTTTTTAAATCCACTATTATAATAAAATCACCTACCAATATATAATTGGTGGATGGCAGTAGAACTCTAATCTGATTGTTTGGCTTTCAGCTTATCGAGTTTAAGTTGATGATTTAATCCATTCGCATCATTTACTGTAAGTCTTGTCGAGAGATTATAGAAACAGCCAATTCATTCACATTTTGCTCGATACTTTCTTTTAATCTTTGTAGAATCCCTCTCGTAATATGTAAAAGAAGTCGTGAGAAAATGCAACGACCTATACTGAACGAAGTTGAATTACGATCCGAAGCTGAGGGAAGTAGAATTCACCTCCATCAAAATCTCAATGAATGATCAAACAACACAAACTATTCACCTCGTCATGTTCGTCTCAGTGATAGTCACTTATCATGTTAAAATTGATAGCGTTCATAGGAAAAAAACCGTATTTTTTGGGAGAACGGTTGAAAGTATATTATAATGGTTTAAGGTTTAGAAGTAGATTATTGAAGCGTAAGGAAGAATGTTATATAGAGTGTATGAACTGAAGTGTTCGATAAATCCGTCTAAAACTCGTCACTTCGATAGTGTGGACTATTAAATGTATGGAAATAACAGGATTTAACCGCGCTCGTTGCTTCAATTATGGCAGTTAGATCACCGAGTTGTTTAAGATGCACTGGTGTGTGGCCATCCATATCAGTAGTATATTTTAAATCAATGATGAAATGATATCTTACAAATCTGTCAAGTGATCGAAAATTATATGCTCTCATGATTAACTAGATCTCTTTCTCTTCGGGTATTACGTTCAACGGTGGTCATAAAAAAAGCTTGCGAATCTTTATTATTTTGGATATCAAAAGCATGTTTGAGCTTCCTCCACTGATTTTCAGGTGCCTTCGTACCTTTCTTCTTTTAATTGGTTCTTTTAATCCCAAAAATCATCCAAAAGCATTCCTTCGTTATTTATCTTCATCACGAGGGGAGATAACGTTATTATTATTCTTTAATACGTTAATAATATTGGTTGCAGGAATTTCACTCATATAGTAAAGATGTTTTCATATCTACTGTAACTTGAGAAAGGATCACTGGCCAATCTCGCTTCACAGATTGATATCTCGATTAATAAATTTTTATTTAATATTTCCTGTCGAGTTTTTGCTTCTTTGGACAAATTATAATCTAAGAGAGAAAGAGATACGTTTATCCATTCTTTTTCTAAATATTTGACTTTATCACGAGTACATAGGTCACGGCTGACTTTTTGGGTTTAATTCTTGAATATAAGAAAAATACTAAAAGGCATCATTAAACGACTTAATAAGCACTACGTAATTAAATTTCGCAGAATGAAATCATCTTCGACAGAACATGGGCCGACTAATGACTTTGTTTTAACCTATATAAGAGCTAAGTCAAGTGCGTCTGATAAATACGCACAAAAATAATCCAACACAAATAAACATAAATGAATGTACAGATATGCATTTACGTATACATTAATAATGGATATTATTACGTAGTTTGTAATTTCATTAGGCAAAATCTGATATGCATTTAATTGGCAACTTACTATGAACGATACAACAATCAGACAGTATATTAAGGGCACAACGGACATCATAATACGTACAGTATATAGTACGTACGTAGAGCAAAATCTTTATTAAACGTGATAGCATTCTCACTCCGAGTCAATATCTGATTTTCACGACATGACAGTCACAAGGGCGGGCGCAATAGATTTGGAGTCGAAAATTTTGTTATTTTCACGAAGTTTTAATATATTTTGGTTACAGTAACAAAAGATCATTTAATTTACATGATTAAGTCATCCAAAACTAACAACTCAGAAGAATCTTTTACGTTGATGAATTAATTTGTTGTAATCCAAGTCCTCTATTGCTTGACAAATGTTTTCCCACACGTCTGACTTTCTAAAATCTTCCCAAAATTTAACATCATTTGCGCTCGTTTCTTGATGTCATTATCTCTGTCAAAGGTAACACTTTCCAATGATGGTTTGTGCAGCATCAGATAGAATGATCGCACAAAACATATTAAGTCAACTTTTGGTCCATAAACAATATTTTCATCATTAGTTAGTGATTCCAGGAATTCATCCGGCATGCATTTAAGTGCTCCTGCAAATGCGGTGTCTTCGCGTTTCTTTGTGCTATAACCCCAGTCAATAATTAAAATAGATTCATTTGGATCATCTAAATTACGAAGAAAATTACATTTCCGAAGGTCCCTATGTACATATTCATATGAAAGAACACGTTTAAGAGTGGTTATTATATTCTTGATATCTGTTTTTCGCAAATTATTAACTTTCCCACCAAGAGGAGTCATGACCAGAGTATTCTCATCGTAAAAAAGAATTTTGGGGATGTGAGGTGAACCTAACTCCGAAAGTTCTTCTAACACAGCTCTTTCTCTTTCGAAGCAGGGCAAATAATTTGCTTTTTTCATCATTTTCACGGCCACATTTATGTCTTTATATATTCCTTCATACGTAACACTAGTTCTGCCTACACCAATCGACCGAACCAGTTTTACAGTTTCCTCACCAAATTTCAATAATTTTCAACCAATCCCAATCTTTCTGGAGAGCCTTCAATTATTGTTATCAGGTACCTACACCCTTTCGAAGGACTAGCTTGCGTGTTGTATGTCAAATATTCACTTTTTATGTAGTTATATGTGAACTGTGTGTATTTTCCCGAGTATTTTTTTTTATTTCTGTTCACCCTATATATATTGATGACGATACAATCCGTCAACACCACATACACATAGTTTCGTCGTGGCTGAAGTTGGAGTATTTTTTCACCAAATTATATTGCATGTCCTATATCTGCATTGCTAGAGCTTCCATTAACTCGCTTTTTGACCTCATCGACGGCTACAACACTTAACGGATCCAAAGGAGAATCGCTCGGAATGAATACAAAATCTGGTTTTCGAGTATCCAGCAATGGTGAAAAATGTGTGTCACTGATAACAAGTTTATTTTGTAGTTTGCATAATTTTCTAGTGCATTGCATTCACACATAAAGTAATCTTGTACTTTTTCTTCTTTTGGTTTTTCGTTAATGTCCATGTTAGGCGGTTGTAAAACTTTCCAGGTGACTTTGCTTTTAGACTTCTGGACAGATCAAGCGGAAACTGAATTCCAACACCTCTTTCTTGCACAAATTTAACCTTTTCAATTTTTGCAAGAATATCTAAACAAAAATTGTTAATAAAAAATCCCAGAAATAGTCGAAAAACTAGGCGAATAACATACCTATTGCACTGTACCATGCATCCGCAGCAAAACGCACCCTCTTCAATTCACGATCTAGCTCGTCCACTTTGAAATTAATTTTATCGACAATTACATCAAAATGTCTCTTTAATTCTGTGAAATAAACGAAGCGTTAATATATAATCAACATTTTAAACCATATTAGAAAAATTACCTTGTTCGCCTCCTGAACATAAAATAAATGATTTAATTTTGGAAGACGGTAATATACAGTAACAACAAATCAAAATTAATCCTTAACATTCACTCGCGTTGACCAAAATTTTATTACGACTTTACCGGAGACGATTAGTCGCTCTACAATAGCGCGAATTTGTTTTTTGGCGGGTTTGATGATAAGAAGCAGGAAAGAAAGCACAAGATTATGTATTACTGGCAAGTATGATAGTCGTGCAAATCATAGGAACATACCAGAAACAGACTTGTTCGATAATCCTTTCAAGTATACAAGCTTAGCGTTATTTGTCTTGAAGAGATTAAGTATTTTTTTCCACATCAGCTAATTTAGTACCCATTTCGGTAAGGTATACGTATAAATTGGCCTCCTCATCCTCACTTAATTTATTAGGTTCTTCAGAGAGACTTTGAACAGTAATAATAATATTATCAAGCGACATGTTATTTAATTTTTGCGTGTTTCACAAGTGGTTCGGAAAAGAAGTGATGTTTTAATTAGCGACCAATACGTAATATGTAAAGAAAAAAAAATTTTTTTTATTACATTAAAAAAGGAGAAACAGAATTCCATTATCACGTGATAATTTCGTACGTATTGTACGTATTTTACTTGCTTCACATGATTTTCATCCTCAGAATACGTATTCACTGATTTCACTGACGTGTCGTCATCCATTATCCTTGATCCACGAGGCACCCATGCCGAGTAATGATATCTAACGGTGTTGTTATACATTTTTCTATTTATCTTATCTTTTCCTCTCTAGATCGGAAAAAAGAGGATATCATGATACTCGCTATTTTTGGTTTTTCTTTCGTCTATTGATACGGGCAATTGATATTTAGTTCTAAAACATTGGTCTTTATAAAGGTATCATATAGCGCATTTGGTTTATTCTTTGAGAACACCAAGTCATAACAATGAAGAAACTTCACGAGGATATCGTTTCGCCATTCTCGTTTTTATTTACTATTCCAGTCGAATTTTAATAATCGACATATAGCAAGGTCTTACCAATTGGCTTGAACTAATAAACTTATATTAATACGAGTAGGCTTTTTTCTGGCTTAAATGCAATATAACAAATACGATTGGCTAGAAAAGAAAGATATTTTCTCAATATTAGTATTTTATGGAATGGCAGAATCAAGAATATTTCCTCTTTCCAATGCATAGTGAGTATCAAATTTACTATATGTTAATCCGTTGGTTTCGATCGTTAGATTTGTTTTTGGGTAATCGTATACACATATTTTTAGCTTCCTTGAACGCCTAGACAATTTGAATAATTCTTCGGCGGTAAACGTTTCCTTATTATACTCCGGCTCTTGAAAATATTAATACATGACTAATACTCGATGAAAGTGATAAGTTCAATTGCTTATTCAGAAAGACTAGAATTGTGTATAATAATAATAATAATAATAATAATAGTAATAATAAAATAAAAACAAATAAATGAAAAAAATACATCTTTCCAAGCCTCTTCCACATAGGTGTTTTAACTACATGAGATCAGTCATGGTCCCAACTGATGTGTCGAATTTTCATCATAACGACACATGACTGATTTAAAATAGGTCATGTTTTATATTACTCGAGTGACTTGAGTTTTTAATCCACACGTCATTTCTGACGCCATAAAATAATTGTCTAAAAATTAATTAGTTTAGCGGGTTATTTCTGAACAGATAAATATACTGTATATACAGTATTTATCTACTAGATGTAAAATTCTTTTATCATTATCTTATAGCACAGATACGAAAGTAATGAGAATGGAAAGGTATAATTGTAAATATGTTATATAAGCATATCGATACGTACACGTAGTACTGTATACTAGTGGCGTTTTTTTATTTGCCTTAATATAAAAAAAGCATATGATTATTAAATCAATTTCCATAGATAATTTGGTTTGGTTGATTCTCCAATAGTCACACAATACATAATCAAATGGTTTTTGATATTTGTAATAAGAGTACAAATGTACGTATATGACACGATAAAGATGCCTAAAAAGAGAACAAGTCTTTTAATAAAAAAGTTTGATAAGAACAAACTGAAATACGTACGTATAGGTTCAAATGCAGTGTCACCTGTCTGCACGCATGCATAATGTAAACCAAGTACAGTACGTTCACAGCTTTACTCATGGATACTTCGGATAAAAAGATAATCGTTAACACTTCATGCGACAATGATAAGTCGC